AGTTAATGGAAAGGTAGTTAAAGTCCCCCATTATTACAGTGGTGTGTTTCCTGCACACCTCCGTCAACTTTTTTGCGAATAGTTCAAATATGGCTTTCATATTTCCTCAGCTTGGTAGGGTGGCCTGTAGTACACGGGAGCAGTGGTGGGTTGTTCCCGGTTCGCACCGGTTCTATAGAACTGGTAGTAAATCCAGTGGGAGGCTCCGCCCACTGACCCTGATGTCATGAAAACACTTCTGCGCTTGCGCAGAAGACCTTGTGCATGGCCCCCGTTGCGAACCGGTAGTAAAGGTAAGTAGAACCCACCCCTGCACCTGAGGAATGTCATTCCCCTCCCCCCCAATATTCACTATAACTTGAAAGTTATACTTTGAAGGCAGCTTTCATCCTTAGTATTGTGTATTTCTATAGAGATATAGTAGTTCTTTGTATACATTGCAACTCTTCCTCCTCTTTTGTTGAGTCTGTCTTATTGAACAATATCCTTCTAGCAATATGTTGAACAATATCCTTCTAGCAATATGTTCCAATCGGGTGGGTTCTATTTGCCTTTACTACCGGTTATATATATACACATTGTTATATGACCAAACAAATAAATAAAATTATCAAAGCTAATCCAAATTTATATTAATATGTTCAGCATTACATATATTTAATTACAAATGTTTCTTATAAAAACAATGTTGTTTTTCAGATAACTGAATTCTATTGTTTCCACCCATTTAAAATAATCAAGAATTACTAAATATCAACTGTATAACTTTGGCACAATAGTAATAATAAATAATAATAAAAACTATCTTACAAATATTGTGTATTTCTTATATGCTTACTTTTAGCTTTGCGGATCCATGTAAGTGGTTCCACTATTGATATTCTGAAGAGGACAGACTGTCAGTTCCAGTATGAAGAACGGGGAGAAACATATTTGAAGGTAATCTATACCCATATATTCATAATTTAAAAAATCTGTTTACAGTGAACATTTATTTAAGAGCTGTGTAGCTTTTAAAATATAACTTACAGCTCAATTGTGTCCAGACTACTTAAAGGTAGGCTTCACTTAACATCCACTTATTCAGTGATGATTTGAAATTACAACAGTGTGGAATGAGAGAGGTACTTATGACGGATCCTCATAACTATACCAATTGCAGAGTCCCTGTAGTCACTTGTTTGGGATTTGGGTAATTAATGATCAGATCACAAATAGAACATCACAGCATTCCATGATCACATGATCACGTTTGTGACCTTCACTGCCATCTTCTGACAATCAAAATCAATGGGGAGGCTGGTAAGAGGTCACAAATGATAATCATGTGACTGTGGGATGCTGTAATAACATGGGATTCATCTAACTATGGCAACTGATACTGCTAGAACATTCATTGTAAGTTGGCAAGTTGCTTTACAACTGCATTAACTCAGTGTGGTGCCTTACAACCATGTCTTTTAGTGGCGTAGTTGCTAGTACAAGTTACCCTTGGTAAGTGAGGATTATTTGTAATAAATCTTATTATATGACCTTGGATTGGGAAATACATTCCTGATTTGCAGCAGTGAATGTTGAGAGAGTTCTGCTCAGTGTTAACATAATGGTCCAGCATTGGTTTTAAAGAAGGGTAAAAGAGGCCATTTATGTTAACATTGAGCAGCTTCACACACACACACACACACACACACACTATTTGCACAGATAAACCCTGCAAGTGGCTTCAAGAGCTCTTAGGGAGAGTGCTAATAACCAGATGACTGCCAAAGAAATATGATCCTTTGAACCTCCCTGCCCCCAATGATACTATGGCAAGGAATCACAGGGAGATAATGGACTTAATGAATAACAAAAATGGGAAGTTAGAAAATGCTCCACAAGAGATCATGAATAATGATCAAAAAGCCCAGGAAATAGAGGAGACAATGGAGAGACCAGGGGAAAAGACAGAACTAAATAAACAAACAAAACAAGAAGATCAGAGGGAGAAGGTAATAAAAACATATGAAGCAATTCAGGGGAAATACATGCTAAAAGACCAAAAAATGATACTAGATAAACAGAAATATATTTTTGAAAAGAAAATTGAGAGTTGGGCAAATCCTCTGGAGGTTTGGCAACAAAAGATAGTAGAGATGGAAGAAATACTTAAATTAAACAGGAAAGATGTAGATAGAGAAGAAGACCCAAGGAAGGAATTTGGGAGGCAAGTCAAAAAATGAATAAGAATTGAAATATTAAAATGGGCAAGAGATGACAGATAGAGGAAATGTTTTGTAATACAAGATTGGCTTTACCAGGAGTTAGAATAGAGGCAGACACAAGAAATAGGGGGAATATTATTATGCACATTTTAATATAACATATTAAAAGTAATAGCTAGACATAAAGATTAGAGTTTGAAAGATGGTGATACCATGTACGTTCTAATGATACTGTTATTGTTATTAGAATGGGGGACTAAAATGTTGAATAATTAAATAATGCTTATATTTTAATACAAATATGTAAAAGAATATTATTACAATTACATAAGTATGATTTAAATAATAAATAATATTAATACTATCATTACTACTTGTATTCAAATACTTGTATAACCAGATGCCTCACTATTCATGTATTGATATTGATGTATATTCAAAAAAAAAATAATTATAATTATAATAGTTAATAATTAATCTTATCATTTCATGCTAGGGCAAAGGAACTGAGATTACTTATTGGCTGACAGGTGTGAAGGATCAACAATATAATCTTCCATCACCTCCTTCAGCGTAAGAGGTTTTTTTTGTTTTTTTAAAAAGCTGTGATATTAACCAGTGTTCAAATCAGGGTGGGTTTTTGCATTGTTGATTGATAGTCCTTGTTTTCCTTTTGATAGGGAGAGAAGAATCTTTTGCAGTATATGTTCTTCCTATTTGTTATTTTCTGAGGGTGGGGTGCTTTTGGAGGACAGGTTCATGCATTCCCAAACTAACTTCACCCCCTGCAAGATATAGACACACATAAAAAAATACATTCTCACTCCAGGTGAGCTTGGCTCTTGGTGTGTATATCTGTAGACATCCATGTTGTATTCAGGAGAGTGGCTTGCCACTGTTTTCTGTTATTGTTTGGTTTTATTTCCCAATTTCTTCACCATTTCTATAGACCTAGGATATTCTGATGTGATGTCACCCAGGTGCAATCCAGGCCTCAACCTGCTATAAGATCAACTAGGTGTTGCCACTCCTGTATGAGCTCCCTCTATTCTCAACTTTTAAACAGCGTTTATAGGAATAGAAATATTGATGGATGGAAATGTATAGATAATTAAAAATATTTACTGCTATTTCCAGGGAGAATCAGCAGCGTTTGCAGGCAGACTTTGCTGAGATGATAAAGGACTCGTTACAAAAAAGACCAACGGGAGATTGCCAGATGCAAGAGATTTCGCGCATGACTAGCTACTGCAAAGACACCCTGGAATATCTGCAATTGGCTACTAAAGAACACCCTGCCACTTACCTGTAAAGCTAGATAGGAACAAGTTAGGAATAAAATGATTTTGGGTTCCCACCATTGTTACCCATTTGCAAGATTGAGGAGAGCAAGACTGGTTAAAAACAGAATGTTGCTCATTCTTTTAAGTATCGTTAATCAATAAGTCTGATGGCACCTTTTCAAACTAGCAAGCATTATTAAAAGACATACAAGTTTTCATCACTACAGTTTATTTTTTAATAGAATGTGTTAGTTTGAAACAATGCTTGGCTACTATAGACTAACATGGCTCTCTGTAATATCTTCTGTACTTGCATATCGTTATACTAGTAATTAATAAACTATGGAAAGATTCCCTTTGCTGCATTTCCAACATGCAAATAATTTAATGTAAGCTGCTTCTGCTGACTTATTAGAGCCTTTACTACACTGCTTTTTGGATATGCAGGGAACAAAGGAAGAGACTGTCAACTACCAGTAATACGTTTTAGACTCAGTACATTGTTTATGGTTATATATTTTATCTGCCATTTAAAATCTGTTAAGGCATTGGTTTTTTTCATGATTTATTTGTTCTATAATGTTTGGGAGTGTAACCAATCCATTTGAAAGTACAATAAAACTTTTGGATAAGAGTATCTTGTAGCACTTGTTCTTACCATGCTACAGATGAAATATGAATAGCTATCTCCATAACCACACCCACTTAGTTGAGATATATTCACAGACAGTTATGTGGAAGTTGGCATTTTGTTGCTGTTCTATATAGTTTTTTCATACATGATTTTATTTTGTATTTTATAACATTAAGATTCCTTATAATTTATGTACAATTGAGAGTACTTGTTTGGAGGACCATTGGAGAATCATTTGTGTGGCAAGAAAACAGGATTCAAAATGCTGCAAAGAAAGAAAACGTTGTCCTTTTTGGGGTCTCCACTAGCAACACAGCTGGCGATTTGGATATCGCTCTGTTATGCTATGATTTTATTTTCATAGCAGTATTACGACTATCTTCATTTTTAAAAACTCAAATTCATGTTTTATGCATGTTTTGTTCATTTTATTTCTTTTTAGGAAGCATATCCTGCTGTTTTGAGGATGGGAAGTTAGCAACAAAAATGTTTAAAAAGCTGCTTCATGGAACTGCCATTTATTTTTCTGTTACATCAAATAATTAGATTATCCTATGTCAAATAGATAATATATGTCAAATAGATAAAATAAAGCGGCTGCTACCATCCCACCTGGAAATAATTGTGAAATCCACCAAGTTTTGCCATAGTCTTCAAAATGCATGACATCAGTGTTAGTTGAAGCCAAATACTGTATACATACCAGAATATGGACATACTTTCTTTATTACTTATCTTAATTATATGGTGCCACTATAAAACATATTTTACTTTATATTTTTGCTCAAGTTACCAAACAATATAGCAGGGAAAAAATAAATTTTAGAATCTGAAAGAATAGTTTAAATATAAAGGAAAGAGCACATAAAAGAAAAAAAATGAGAGAAAAGTATTATTATTTATTTATCAATACATAAATAGGGTTTGCTTCCCAAATACACTGTAGCCCAGAGTTCTGTTAATTATTCACTTGGCTTAATTTTGGTTCAAATCCATATAGGATGAAGGCTGGGTAATCACACAGTGTAGGGTTGACTGTCACTTTTTTCCCCATGGGATTATGTTCAACATGTCATGTCCTTTAGGAGTCATGATCTTCTGATTCCAGCATCAGGTAGGGCAGGGGTATACACGTCATATCCGGGTAGGGTCATGACCTGATAGAGTCTGCATCTGAGGGGGACTTGTTTATTTTGATGATGTCACTGATAAAACAAACAGATAAGCCATAGTTAAGAGTTAGTTATTACTGATTTACTTAGCACAGGAAAAATAAAATGTCATCCTTAGTTTGTTGGTGTACAATGAAATTTGTAGCTTCCCGCCCTTGGCAGTTTTTTGTAGTTTCTTTGTTCATGACTAAGATCACATAGGAGACTGTTAAATAAGCAAACATTTAAGGTAACCTTTAGATCATAAGGAAGTAACTTGACCTTGCTTTTCAAAAAAAAATGATAGAACTGCTTGACTTCTTCAGATCAGCCTAAACTAATGATGGAAAATTTACAGAATGATTCTTTTTATATAACTCATGATAACAAAACTCTTGAGAAAATGCCACCTCTGTATTATTCAGATATTTAATACTGAGTAATTCAGATAATTCAATCAATAGGCTTATATAGAGAACTGCAGACATTATTTTGGAGAAGATATGCGAAGTATGTTAGCAAAACATTGACTTGACATGGGGAAAACAATAGCATGAGAAAGAAATTTAAATTTAGTCTTGACTCTTTTCAATGTAAGAGAGATGGAAGAGAACAAGCTATTAGGCTTTCAAAACTGGTGACAGCCATTCAAAGTAGGCCTCATCAGAAATCAGACTCCACAATTAATACAGGAACTCCATTTGCATTAGCTATTAGTACAAGTCCTCAATTTACAACAGTTAATTTAGTGACTGTTCAAAGTTACAATGGCACTGAAAAAACAGACTTATGACCATTTTTCATACTTATAGCCGTTGCAGCATCCCTATGGTCATGTGAACAAAATTTGGATGGTTGGCAACTGGTTCATATTTATGATAGTTGGCACCTTCTGACAAGCAAAGTCAATGGGGAAGCCAGATTCATTTAACAACTATATTAACTTAACAACTTCGGTGATTCACTTAACAACTGTGGCGAGAAAGGTTGTAAAATGGGGCAAAATTCACAACTGTTTCACTTAACAATAAATATTTTGGGTTCAGTTGTGGTTGTAAATTGAGGAGTACTGTATATTTTCTCCAAGATAATCTCTGCAGTTCTCTACAGTTTATCACCATTTAATGGCATAAATATTATATGGTGGCTTATTTTTTTTTTAATGGAATTATAACCATGCATCCATTTCTTTTACAATTTGTTGTTGTTGTTAGTTGTGAAGTTGTGGCCGACCCATCGCGACCCTATGGACAATGTTCCTCCAGGCCTTCCTGTCCTCTACCATCCCCCGGAGACCATTTAAGTTCACACTGACTGCTTCAGTGACTCCATCCAGCCAAATCATTCTCTGTCTTTTACCATTATCAAAATGTAATTTTGTAAAATTACAAAAAGAGAATTCTTGTTAGATTCAATTTAAAAATCCTACACTTTAGAACTGGAATGGCTTTAAAATAACTAAAATTGTAAAAATAGAAAGGGAGCTCTATCTCAGCCATATCACTTTAGGAAGCTGACCTACAATATTTGTTTTGAAAACATCTGATCTGCCCAAGAAAAATATGATAAAATTGTAATAAGGACATCTATCATATTATAGGAATTTTGCTTAGGAAAGTGATTGATCTACTAAATGCCTTCAAGCCAAGCTTTTGCTTTTATCAAACAAGCAATTTAACTATAGGGGTTTTTTACTCATTTTTTATCACACCTGGAAAATGCTTTCCCTTTTCACACTTTGTTGTACTTTTCTGTTATGTTTCTGTAAGCTGTCTTTAATACTGAAAGGCACATCATCAGTAACCAGTTTAATCATGCTTGAGATAAACACGTCCACCATTCAACAAGAATAAATAAATAAAAATTGCAAAAAGCTGCTTTACTTACAACAGCTTACATACTGTGACAATATCTTTATCATCATCAAACATTCACACCAGTCTACCCCAGGTCCTAGAAAAGGCCTCGATAGGTGAATAAAAATGCCAAATTCAGCCTGAATACCTGGCTGACTGTGCAAACGAACATATTGTAATTAAAAAATAATAAATTAAAAAGAAAACAAAAATTAAAGAGCTCAAAGGACAGATTTGATGGACCACTACGTCTTTTTCTGCTGTTTGTTTTCTATGTTTCTATGTTTTACATATTTCCATGTTTTGTTTTCCCAAACATATCCATGAAGAGAAATATTTTTGGGGGGAGGGGGGAGTACCAATTGGCTAGCATCCATTAAAACCTCTGTATCCCTCAAGATGTAACTGTGTTATGCCCAGACTCCAGTCAAAAGTGTACACCTCAGTATCAGATTACAACACTCCTTGTTGAGTTCAACTGTCGAGGTGTGTGGAAGGATGCCATCCCGTGCCCCAAAATCTCCCGCTGAAATACCAAGCAGACCTGACTTTCCAAACCCTACAGACAGGGTCGGCCAGGTGTTGAGATTTGCTTAAAAGTCATTCCGGGTTAATGACTTCGCCTCAAGAGTCTGGGGACATTAAAAGTAGGTCAAGACATCTTACTATCCTTTGCTTCCAATCCTGAGACTATAACAACCGCTTTAATAACAATGATAATGATAATGCTCGACGCCCGGGCGGAGAGCTTTTTCGCTTTCTAATCCACCCCGCCTAAGAGAGGGCGGACCTCTTGTGCCGCCCGGGGCAGCGGCCGGGGACGAGCCAAGCGAGTAATCTCTCCCCCACTCTCTGACCGGCTCGCAGAACTCGGCATGGTCCGCTTCGGCAGCGCCTCCTCCTCGGACAATCGCCGCCAGCGATGCTGGAGCTGGTACTGGGGGGGACTTTTACTTCTCTGGGCCGTGGCAGAAACTCGAGCAGGTGAGAAGGCAGCCCCTTGACAGGACAGGCAAAGAAAAAGGCCTTCTCCCGGCCAACTTCGCCGCTGGCCCGGGAAGGGGCTCGGGCTGAGGCTGCTGCGAGAAGAGGCGGCTTTCCAAGGAGGAGGACGCTTCCCGGGCCCCCTCCGCAGGGTCCCGCCAAGAGAGCGTGAGCCAGGCGCTCGCCAATCCCTGCGTTACAGCGCAGCCGGGAAGTCTCGCTTTTGCTTTTTGTCTGCTCTGCACCGTGGAGGAAGAGGGGGTGGCTCCGTCGCTTCTCCTCGCATCTCCCCTGGCTTCTTCTTCTTTTTTTAAAGGCGTCAAAAAGCCCTCCGTTTGGAAATGGCTCACAACGCAAATAAGTCCAGAATTCCTATTCTAAATTTCAAAAAGAAACGTATTTTTAAAACAACCAGAATAGATAGTACATGGAACGGAGCTGGTTCGAAGTCGCCTTTCATCTGTTGGGTTCTTTTGCCTAATGAGCAAAAATAGTAAAAGCAACAAGGAGCAACACTTTTTTGGCATTCTCCTTTTATGAGGGGCAATTCTTTGCTGCATATATTATAAAGCCACGTTTCCTAGAATTAAATCCTGAACTGAACTGAAATCAACAATAAGTAGAAATAATTTAGAGTTTGGGGACACTTTTTACAAACAAAAATCATACAACTTTCAGTCAGTCTTCCATCCCTCGTTTATTTTCAAGAGGCAAGTACATTTCTGTTCCATTATTGGAAAAACTGCTTACAATATGTAAGAGAGAAGATACTTGTATACATAGTACATAGTGTGATTCCGAAAAAACTTTGAAAACGACATTTACATTTGTAAACACAAGGTAGGACTGATTGCCTTCTAATTTGAATATTATTCTTTAAAAAAAAAACATTGCAAATTAGAAAAGGAAAGCCTGTTGATCCTAAGAATTATTACTGCAATATTAGAAGAGAAGATATATCTTCTCTTACATGTGATATATATCATGTAACCTTCAGTTTCAGCAACTTTTACAGCAAGTGCTTTGTAGGCTGAAAATATAATTTATAATTAATATGTACAGATATGTTGGCACCATGGATTAAGAGAGTGTATAAATTTCCATTCTAATGAGTGCTGAAAAAGAGATAAAATAAATTACCATGGGAAAATATTTTGTAACTTTATTTGCATATTCAGCCAGCACATCTGCAGTCAGTAGCCTGGATAGATTAGCTACTAGAATAGAGTGTTTCTCTTCCCATGAATTGCTGACTCTTAGGGTTAAGTTTATTTATATTTACTGTATATTTATTTATATTGGTGTATCTGAATGTCAGTTACTTTACTCATATACTGATTTTATCTGTTCTAATACATGTTTTTATCTTTGGATATAATCCACAAGCAGTTACTTGTGAGCAATCAGCATTGAATCTACTTCCTTACATTCATAGGATTTGCTATTAATATGCTTGGAAAACTTAGAAATGAGGATGATCATAAGTAACATAAAACTTTTAATCTGTTGATAAAACAGTTGAAGTGTTCCGGAGTTATGTGATCATTTGTAAGCTTTCCAGCCAGCTTCCCAAAAGAATGGGGGAAGCCAAATTCACTTAATGACAGCATGATTCATTTAACAATTGCAGTGATTTGCTTGGCAAAAAAAAGGTTATAAAATGGGGCAAAACTCACTATAACTGCCTTGCAATGGAAATTTTGGCCTCAAATATGGTTGTAAATTGAGGAGTACCCATAGATAGACCATTGCCAGAAGGATTAAGTAGGAAGGTGTGAAGTGAATTCTTTAAGAGGAGCAACTGAGTGGTACTATCAAGAAAACCATCTATAATTAAGTTGATCCAAAAGGCAAAGAAGGACCTCTGATAAGGATACTGATGGGTAGATACATAATATAGACTTTTAAGCATCCTGGCTTAACGGAGTGAAGGATCTTTGAGTTTAGAATCATTAATGATTTGAATTTGGGCTGGGTTTGGACCTAAGGCAGTGTTTCTCAACCTTGGTAACTTTAAAATATGTGGACCAACTGATTTCTGGGAATTGAAGTTCATATATCTTAAAGTTGCCAAGGCTGAGAAACACTGATATAGTGTTGACAAGTACAGTACAGTTGACAAGAATGGTTTAACACTTACTCATAATAAAATAATAGTCTAATAAAAACCATATACTTCTATATCTTTTAAAATAACTTGGTGATATCAATAGATTAAATAATACCTATAAATTATGAACATCTTCCTTAAGAGTAATTGTAAGATTTGGGGAACAGCTCCTTTTTTGGATGAATTACAATCTACAGACATGTTTTTAAACTGTTTTAGTTTATTGATTTTTCTCCACTTTTTGACTATGTCACAAGCTGATTTACGATTTTCATCTGATTTGTTTAAAAGTTCTAAAATCCGATAACTTTTCAATTGAAGTAGTTTAGAAAAATTTAGTCTTATCAATGAGTGTCAAGAATTGTATGATAATATGTGACCTCTTCCTTTTTTATGTAGTATTCAAAATTCTCATTTTCTCAAATAATCAGAAATGATTTTAAAAGTAACTAAATTTACTTTTATCCATATAACTTTATTAAAACTTTTAAGAAAGACGATTTTAAAAAAAACTAATCGAAACTAATATAAAAAGAGAAAACGAGTTCAAAGCACAAAAGCAAAGAAAGAAAATACAAATAAGTAGCCTCTGAGTTTCTTCACATCAGTTATAAGTACAATTATATATTATACTACTTGGTTGCAAAATACCTTATTTTTTCCCATAAACTATCCTGACTCATCATCAAAACATCAGCAAAACTCATCATCATAAATTCATTTTTTCTGTTCTCACAAAAAGTCTATAAGGGGTTTCTAGTTAGCAATAAATAGTTGTTTTTCCTCCAATTAATAAGTCAATTTGGCTATTTCTTCAAGTTCCATCATCTTCACCAACCAAATCTTTCCATCTTTGCACATATAATAATTTTGGTGAAGTTGTCATGTTTAAAAACAAAGTTCCATGACTTTTCCCCTACTTACAGGTAGTTCTCCACTTAAAACAGTTCACTTAGTGACAGTTCAAAGTTACAATGGCACTGAAAAAAGTGACATGATCATTTTTCACTTATGACTGTTGCAGCATTCCCACGGTCATGGCAATTATATTTGAATGCTTGACAACTGACTCATATTTATGACCGTTGCATTGTCCCAGGGTCGTGTGATCATCTTTTGCAAACTTCTGACAAGCAAAGTCGATGGGGAAAGCAGATTCATTTAACAACTGTTACTAATTTAACAATTGCAGTGATTCACTTAACAAATACAGCAAGAAAAGTTGTAAAACGGGGCAAGACTCACTTAACAAATTTCACACTTAGCAACATAAATTTTGGGTTCAGTTGTTGTTGTAAGTTGAAGACCACCTGTATTTATCACTCTGATTTAGTGGAACATTTCTTGTTTTCCACTTTTCCAGCATAAATTTACAATTCTTTATATATTTTAGGGAAATTCTCTGGTGACTTATACCAATATATAACTTTATTTAAAAAAAAATAAGATCATAACATATAGTAATGTAAATTTCAATATTTTCAACCACATATTTCCCCATTGTTTCAAACACCCAAAGTAGTTGAAATTAGTTGAAATGTTCATGATTAAAATACCTGAGTTTATTTTCAAGAAATGATCAGTTATACTGTATATCTTAGTATTCTTAAGTTATACTGTTACTTTCTGGATATGTTTTGAGTGATAGATTGGAAAAGAATAGAGATGGGTACGATCCTCTTACCAACAGCCACTTTTATATAGTCGAGGCATCTGGGTGGAGGTTTTGAGCTCTTGTTCCAGCTTATACACAAAAGAGGCTGGTGATCTTGGGTCAGTCACTCTTTGTCAGTCCTAAGGAGGAGGCAATGGCAAACCACTTTCGAAAAATCTTGCCAAGAAAACATCAGGGATTCATCCAGGCAGTTGCTAGGAGTCAAAGCTGAGTCAAAGACACACACATACAAAACAACCCCTTACAGTGAGGAAAGAAAAGAGAATGCTTACTGCAATGTACTGAATCTGCTTTCCATCTGTCACTAATAAATGCTTAGCACTGTAAGTTCCATTATACAATATCAATATGCTTACAAAATATCTGTTGCTTAATCTCCACAATGTTAATTACATTTGTTGGAGTGATGTTATAATAAGGCTGACCAATGCAGGAAACACTTTAGTCTTAAATTAAGAACTAAAGCCTTTAGTATGGAAGTTGTAAGCTAAGATGCTGACCTTAGCTTCCATGCCATGTAATCAGTCAGCATGTTCTGCTGGCTCATATACTGCGTTTGTGTAAACTTAATCTCCCTGTCTACACATTCCCTTGGCCTTTTGGACTAGTCATTGTTCTCTGTGGATTTGGGACAGTACTGCAAAACCTGATTTTTTTGGTACATTTTCATTTTGATTAAAATACTTTTAAAAAGATGTTAGTCCATCCTGCATGTAGGCAATAGAAAAGGCTGCCAGAGGTGATGAGGAAATTTATTGCCCCATTCTCTTGTCACTTTTCTTGCACCACATGGTTAATGCCAAAGAAGTGAAGTTGTTGCTGCACCAATCAGCTATATAGTAGTCAGTGGCACCATGCAAGCACAGCAGTGGAGCTGGACTTGGGTTGCTGCTGCTGGCAAATTTTTGTGGTGTTCACTTTTTTGGAAGCATGTCTTTGTGTGTGACTTTTTGGGAACATAGGAGAAAAATCAATTTGTTCTTTTTACTTTCACTTCCTCATTGGAAAATGCAGCTGAATGTGACAAGACTTTCCCAGACAAGATGAATTGCTCAGTATGAAACTATGCCTGTAGTAAAGATAAACACTGAAGCAGTAATATCAACATTTGAAATGCTGTGGGATTCCCCCCCCCCAAAAAGAGAGTCGATGGCTTAGACTAGTGATGGCTAATCTTTTTGCCGTTGCATGCCAAAAGTGGGCGGAGCGCAGGGA